CTCTATTGTGCGTAGGTGCCCTGCTGTCTCAGAACCGCTCCCCTTTGGCATGCAGACGCCCATCTTTCGTACGGAGGAGTCGCTGTGGTTCTTAGAGACGGCATGGTGCTCCCAGACGCAGATGGGGCTCTCGGAGTCGACAGTGTGGGACCTTCAGTCGCTGATGGGTGCCCGCCAGATGTGGACCCTTGGAGACACCGGTATGGGGCCCTCAGAGATGCCGGTATGTGGCCTTAGAGACACCGATGTGGAACCCTCAGATACTTCAGTGTGAAGCCCTTACAATTGCTGGTGTGGAGCTATTAATGCGCTGGCTTAAATCCCTCAGAGGCCCGTACATGGACATGGTAGCTCAGTGAGAGCTTGTGTGATGCCTTCAGTGGCCTTGTGGAGCCGTTAGACATCAACATGGTGCTCTCAGGAGCCGGTGAGTCCTCAGAGTCACCGGTGTGGGGCATTCAGAGCTCCGAGATACTGGTGTGGGGCCCTCAGAGGTGTCGGTGTGGGTCCTTCAAATGTACCTATAGAGCCTTGAGATGCACAGGTGTGGTGGCCCACAGAGGCACCGGTGTGGGGCCCCCAGAGCCACCGATATAGGGCCCTAAGAGACACTAGTATGACCCTCAAAGGCGCCGCTGTGTGGCGCTCATAAACACTGGTGTGGAGCCATCACAGGCGGGTGGAGCCGTTAGAGGCCGGAAAGGGCCCTTAGATGCCTACAAGGAGCCTTCAGAAGCCGGCGTGGCACCCTTATGGGGATAAGCGTGTCTACTTAGGAGCCCTTGAGGTGCTCTCATGAGCTCTGTGGGGCCCTACCGAGCCGAAATATGGCCACGGCCAGTTGCCGCCGCATAGCTCTTCGGACTATCATTCTCAGGGGCCTCATGAGTCATGTGCCTAGTTTGAATAGAAGGGCCTCTCAGACCATCAGTCTCATGGGCCTCCTCTGGCTAGTATAAATAGAAGGGTCTGTTAGACCATCAATCCTAGGGGCCTCCTCTGGTTAGTATAAATAGAAGAGCCTCTCAGACTTTGTAATACGAGAAGTAGTAGCCTTTGCTCATATTAATGTTCAAATAATGCACAAAATTGGATATATTGAAATGATACTGATATTTCGCCTTGCGGCATCATCAGAGTACTCTAGTGTGGATAGAGGGGCCATACTCCCTCTAGTGTGGATAGAGGGGCCTCCCAGACCGCCAGTGTCAGGGGCCTCCCCAGACTAATGTGGATATTGGGATCTCCTCAGATCCACTAGGGCCTCTCAGGCCATCAGTCTCAGGGGCTTCGATGCCGCAAGGCGAAATATCAGTATCATTTTAATATATCCAATTTTGTGCATTATTTGAACATTAATATGAGCAAAGGCTACTACTTCTCGTATTACAAAGTATTTATAACGGTGCTCATCACAGCCATCCATTTCATCAGCCTCTCAGACCATTAATCTCAGGGGGCTCCTGTGGACAGTATAAATAAAAGGGCCTCTCAGACCATCAGTCTCGGGGGCCTCCCTAGAAAAGTGTAAATGTGGATAGAGGGCCCCCTCAGATTCATTATGAGTGGACCTCTCTGACTATCAGTCTCAGGGGCCTCTTGTGGCCAGTATGAATATAAGAGCCTCTCAGACCATCGGTCTCAGGGGCCTCTTCTGACTAGTGTGGATAGAGGGCCCTCCCAGACCACCGGTTTCAGGGGCCTCCAGTGGCCAGTTATATGAACAGAAGGGCCTCACAGCCATCAGCCTCGGGGGCCTCTTCTGACTGGTGTGAATATGAGGGCCTCTCAGACCATCAGTCTCAGGGGCCTCCTCTGCCTAGTGTGAATATAAGGGCTTCCCAGGCCATCAGTCTCAGGGGACTCTTCTGAGTCTCTGACTGGTGCGGGATTGAGGGACCTCCCAGACCGAAAGTTTTGGGGCGGTCTCCTGTGGCCAGTATGAATAGAAGGGCCTCTCAGCCCATCAGTATCATGGGCCTCTTCTGCCTGGTGTGATTATAAGGGCCTCTCGGGTCATCAGTCTTAGGGGCCTCCTCTGACTACAGTGTAGATGGATAGGCCTCCCAGACCATCAGTCTCAGGGGCCTCTTCTGACTATTGAGGATAGAGGGGCCTCCTCTGACTAGTGAGGGTAGGGGCCTCGGCTAGACCGCCAGTGTCAGGGGCCTATTCTGACTAGTGTGGATGGAGGGGCCTCCCAGACCACCAGTCTCAAACCTCTGACTAGTGTGGATAGAGGGGCCTCCCAGACCGCCAGTGTCAGGGGCCTTCCCAGACCAATGTGGATATTGGGGCGTCCTCAGATCCACTAGGGCCTCTAAGGCCATCAGTCTCAGGGGCTTCGACTGACAAGTATGAACAGAGCGCCTCCTTGGATCCATGACGGCCCCTTGGAGTTCGTGCGTGGGGATTCGTGGAACTCATTTTTACCGAGTTTGTTTATTCTGGAAGGTGACGACGTCCTCTCAAATCGAGACGAGGGGCCTCGAGTAAAAAGTGGGTGGGCCAAAACACATGGTTGGCCCCCCCACCTCGAAAAGTGGGTGGGCACTTGCCTACCTGCCCCCCCCCCCTGTTCCTACGCCTATGCCCCGCGATACTCCCTCCCCCAGCGTTTTTGAATAGATTGGGATATAACTCCGGAACTGTTCACCCTGCAGCGGCGCAGAATGATGCATTCAATCGCCTTTTAAAGCTGTTTTGCCATGGCACCTTCGTTTTGACTTAAGTCAAACGGTTAAGCCTCCCAAGCCTGAATAAGTTTTGCTGAAAACTACTTTAATAATAACTTCTAAAACAGAGCATTTCCAGCAAAGTTTTACCGGAACTGTGCTTCTCTCGTCATGACGGATCGGATGAGTTTTTATCTTTTAACCAGCGCAGGCCCGAGGGATGTAGTGTCGTATGAACTGACGCTGGAGAGGCCGGCGGCCGACCTGCACCGCGGCGGTCACGTGGGCAAGGTGACGCCGACTGGCCGTGGCCCGGCCGGGGGAGAGCTGGACGAGCGCCGGTCAGCGACGGACGCTCTCGCGTGGTCGAAAGTGTGCAACTGCATTATCATTAGTTTAAGTCTTTGTCCTGTGTTTATATGAACAATATATAGCAACACACCATTGCGGTTTTTGTCACACCTGTTCATTTATCTTTTCCGCAAATGTTGTAGAAATTTCAGACCCAGGTCGCTTAAGGTCAGGTCACCAGGTCAGGTCAAGTGACCTCACCTCAGACAGTTTAGAATCCTCGTCATTGCTACACCGAATGAACGATCGTCTTGAAACTTACAGCGATTGATGAGAGTAACAGTATATACAAAATGTTTATCTCGGAATTTCGATATCGCTGACCTAAGGTTAGGTCAATTTTGCGACCTCTCAATTACATAAGGGAAGGTGGGGTAATACGGACCAGCTAAGGCTTGAGGCCGCACATCTTGCTACACTGCTCTCGTAACTCATATTTTTTTTTATAGTATTTCTGAATGCCCAATCCTTCCTCTTTTGATATGTGCAAATAATAAATTTCAAAGTAAAGATATCTATGTGGTAGCTATACTGCTTCTCACATAGGGGAACATGTCAAAATCTCCGACAAGAAAAAACGCGGGGTAAGACGGACCACCCAGCAGTGGCTGCTATCCATTCATGTTTGGTACACTTATAATCTGTACTCTTGTAAGTAGTTAGTAGAAGTACCCAGAGTGGTAAAATAGCAAAATATTAATCTTTATTCTATATAGGTACCAGGATAGGTACCGGGTGAGGTCACATGGAGGTCAGGTCACTGAGGGTCACAATATGAAAATATCATGTGATGCATGTTTTATGGCCCATTTTATATGTCAAATGCAATTATGTGGGTCACGCAGCCTTTGGGGCCAGTTTAGTTTGTTTTGGCGAAAGTCAGGTCAAGGTCAAATTAGGTCAAATTTCAAAGTTGAGATTTTTGCATAAAATGGGTGTCGATTCGATGCAGCTCGTCACGGGATGTTCAATGGTGGTCTTTTTTGCGCTACGTGGTCTAGAATTGCTAAAAAATTGAATTAAAAAATTTGACGTCATCAATTTTGAAGTTTTTTCGCTATAAGTTGACCAAAAAATGTGTCGATCTAAAATTTAATATGTAGATATAAGAGCACAGGGACTATCACATATATTCCGGTTCTTTCAAAATTCGAAAAAAACTTGATCGCAGTTTTGTAGCATCGTGTTTTCTCTACATAACCAAATAAAGAACTTTGAAACTGCTTGGTAGCTGTAGTGTTCGTGAGCGTTTCAAGATTTCATGTTTTTTGCTCATTTTTTGCTCGAACATGACTTCAGTTTGACCTCAATAACTCCCGATCTAAGGTGACCTAAGACTTGAAATTTTGTGTGAAGGTGTCAAATTGATGCCCGGGAAGGTACTGAAAGTTTGGCGGCGCTGTGCGCCGCCATTTTCTTGCTATTTAGGAAAAACCACAGGGGGGGGGGGCAAATTGCTCCCCAAAGGGGTGAGGGTTATAGGAGAGAGCGCCTGCTCCTCCCGCCGTTCTATTCACCCCCCACCAGGCTACGGCTGAAGTGGGAACCTACCCCACACCTGGTGACGCAGTCGGGGACGACGCCACTCAGGCCACCAGCAAGGCGCGGGTTAAATCTTGTCACCATCAAATACCCTACACGAATGTACATGAGGTAACTATTCTGTTTTCATATCGGGACTTCAGAAGTCGGCGGTGTTCGCCTTACCCCAGGCCATGGGGCAGTGGCCAAAATGCATAGGTTTGAAGTGTTGACAATATCTCCCTTATGTGAACGCCTTTGAAATGAAACGCAATTAAAAGGCAACTTAATAGGGAACACATTGGTATAGAAAGAATCCTTCCAAGTTTTTTTTTCCAAGTTCAAAAAAACAAGCGTCGGCATCGTAAGAAGCGTTAGGTGGCCGCTCTGCCCCACTCTCCCATACAAACATTGTACAATCGTGAGATTACATGCACCGGAAAAAAAATGAAATAATAATAGAAATGTATTTCTCTTCTCAACTGAACAAGATCCGCAGTTTGTCGCTGAAACATTAGGTCAAACTGTCACTGGGAAAACACTCTAAACACAGCCATAACGGACCAAACGTGCATAACTGGCGCAGAGGCGGGCCAACCGCGCACAGCTGGCGCAGAGGCGGGCCGACCGCGCACCGCTGGCGCAGAGGCGGGCCAACCACGCACAGCTGGCGCAGAGTAGCGTAGAGCCGCGCGCAGCTGGCGCAGAGGCGGGCCGACCGCGCACAGCTAGCGCAAAGGCGGGCCGACCGCGCACAGCTGGCGCAAAGGCACTACGACAGGCCGTTGTACCATTGCCCACCGGCCGGGCGTAACGACGACGGAACGACACTCCGGATTAAGCGACAACACGTCCGCGGCGTTCAGTTTGATCCTGTTGGTCCCGGCCCCGGCCACCGCTGTGGACTGTGTCTCTCAGTGGCAGCCGAGGGTCTGTTCACTCGCTCACCACCTCCTCACTGACGGCCAGGGTCAGCGAGATACCCCTCACTGACGGCCAGGGTCTGCGAGATACTCCTCACTGACGGCCAGGGTCGTCAGCGAGATACCCTCACTGACGGCCTGTGGGCTCCCTCCACTGACGGGCAGCCTCGGAACACTGCCGTCCCCTCCGGCAGCGGCTAGCGGTGGGTGGGGGTGGTCAGTTTCACCAGGCCGCAGCGCGGTGCTGCCCCCCTCCCCCGGCAGCGCGCTCCTAGCGGTGGGTGGGGGTGGCCAGTTTCACCAGGCCGCGGTCCACCACCGACTGGTAGGCGAGGCGGGTCTTCACCTCGGCGGCCGCCGGGTCGTCGAACACAACCAACTCGACAAGCGGCGGCTCCCGCAGACTCTGCTGCGGGCGGGCGGGCGAGCGGGCACACGGTCACAGGGAGGAGCACACGGTCACAGGGAGGGGCACACAGTCACAGGGAGGGGCACACAGTCACAGGGAGGGTCAGACGGCGGCACCCGCAGACTCTGCTGCGGGCGGGCGAGCGGGCACACGGTCACAGGGCGGGCACACGGTCACAGGGAGGAGCACACGGTCACAGGGAGGGGCACACGGTCAAAGGGCGGGTCACACGGTCACAGGGCGGGCACACGGTCACAGGGCGGGTCACAGAGGGAGGGTCAGACGGAGGCTCCCGCAGACTCTGCTGCGGGCGGGCACACGGTCACAGGGGGAGGGGTACACGGTCCCAGAGGAAGGGTCAGACGGTCACTTGACGGGATACACGGTCACGGGGTGTAACACAAGGACGAAGAGTCAAGGACACAAGGACACATGGACATTGGACATGGGCCGCACACCTCAGTGAAGGTCTGTCGCGAGTAAAAACCGTCACGTAAAAGGGCCAGGCGAAGAAGGCGGTCCAGCGAGCGGGGGCACTGCAGGGACCGGTGCCCCCTCCAGATCAATCCAAAGAGAATTCAGTGATAATCAAACTTACGGTCACGGCAACCAACAACACTTGTCAAAACTGAGCAATATTCATCGGCCCAAAACGGAACAAAATTCATCAGCCTAGGTTGAAGTGGCTGCATCTCGACATACATAATCCTATGTGCAGCCTATATTGAATAAGAACGTATTTATTTCTCCTCTCCCGGCGCGCTCTCGTCACCGCATTACCTTGACGCGCACCCAGAGCTGTACGTCTGGGTTGAAGAGGCACTCCTGCATGGCACTGAAGGCCTCCGGCGACCACCCGGAAGCGTCGGCGGGCGCCAGGCGGCACAGCTCCACCAGCAGCGTCCAGGCCGGCAGGGTGCGCAGCGCCGCCGGTATCTCCCGCAGACTGCACGGAGGGACGGTCAGATACGAGCCGTACAGACGGTAAGATACCGTCAGATACGGGCGACGCGGCACGGTCAAATAAAGACAGGCAGACACAGATAATGACTTAAGACCAGCGCCCTGCAGTCAACCAGCGTTACACCGCCCACAGTCGGCAGCATTCGGTGACAATCTACGACACATGCCGCGGCGAATTCCAGCAACAATACAGAGTCGGGCGGCGCGCGCTCCGTGGCCTGCAAAGCGGTAGGACAATAGGCGAAAGCAATTTCTTTATTGGCGCTCGATAAGTGTAACTGAAATTTTCCGACATACAGGCCACGGGGTATGTGCGTGCGACGCGTCTCCACTGACCTGGACACGCTGACGGTCTCGTTGTTGCCCCAGTCGACGTACTGTACTGTGGCCCGGTCCTTCTCCAGCGCGGTGATGACAGCCCGGTACCAGGCGTTATCGGCCGAGTACAGCGACAGACACGGAGAGCCTGACACACAGACAGACATATGGTAATGACGGCCCGGTACCAGGCGTTATCGGCAGAGTACAGCGACAAACACGGAGAGCCTGACAGACAGACAGACAGACAGTACCAGGCGTTATCGGCAGAGTACAGCGACAGACACGGAGAGCCTGACACACAGACAGACATATGGTAATGACAGCCCGGTACCAGGCGTTATCGGCAGAGTACAGCGACAGACACGGAGAGCCTGACATATTGAATGGGGTTAAGGGACGGTGCCGCGCATTTAAAGAGACCGACGGCTGGGACAGCCAGACGAATATCTCCGCCAGGTACAGACGGCCACTCCCTCACCAACGCAAGTCATGGCCAAGGACCGGCTGCGACTGGCACCAACCAGTCTTCCCCTATCCCCCGTCTCTCACCGACGCAAGGGTCGCCCAGGGCCGGGTGGGACTGGTACCCGGCTCCCCTTCTCCCGTCTCCCCGTGTTCCTGTCCCTCACCGACGCAGGGGTCGCCCAGCGGCGGCTGCGACTGGCACCCGTCTCCCTCAGTGTCCCCGCCCCTCACCGACGCAGGGGTCGCCGAGCGGCGGCTGCGCGCCGGCCTCGTCCGCCATCCGGTCGGCCAGCTGGTCGATCTCTGTCAGGTGCTGGGCCAGCAGTCGCAGCTGGGGGCTCGGCTCTCCGGCCACGCGCTGCGGCTGCACGAGCAGGCGCGCCGGGCTGAGCAGCGCCGCCACGGTGACGGGCACCAGCACGCCGGCCGGCAGCGCCAGCCGCGGGTAGGGCGAGCGGTGCAGCAGCACGTCCAACAGCGGGCCCGAGGCGCCGGCCGCCGCCGCCGACAGCTCGGCGTCTGTCATGTAGCGCGCGTCACCCATCTTGACCAGCAGCTCGCTGATGTCCAGGCCGCTCTGCGCTAAACGGATCGACACCTGCCAGAGCGGAGAGGTGGGTCGTCAGGCGCAGGACAGGAGGGGTCAGATGGCGGAGCGGAAGGGTCAGACGGTTGCCTAGGAAACGGCCACGACACAATACATCAACACCCTGAGTTACAACTTTACTGCCGAGCATATGCGGCGGGACTGAAATCGTGACGAAGAGACAGGAACGTTTAAACTCACCAGGAAGCGTCGCGAGTCGGCGCTGTGGTGGTATTGCCCCCTCCCCTCACCCCGGGGCGGCGGCCACCCACAAGGAGGCGGCGGGTGCCGGGTGCTGTCAGTGCTGTCGTCCGTATTCCCCCCTCCGCTCCCACGCGGCCCGGATACTAACCAAGAAGCGTCGTGAGTCGGCGTTGAAGTGGTGGATCTCCACGTGACACTCGCGCTCCACGATCTGGGAGTGGATGAAGTTGAGCGCCTTCACTGAGTAGTTGCCGTCCTCGGCCAGCTGCGACGGGGGGGGGGGGGAGGACCGGTCAACAACACAACAGCTGCCGCGGGGGGGGGGGTCTGGTCAACAACAGTAGCAGTAACAGCAGCAACAGCTGCAGCGGGAGTCACTGGTCAACAACACAAACAATAACAGCGGCGGCTGTGATCTGTGATCAACAAGAACACAACAGCTGCGGTGGGTGGTCACTTGTCCGTCATATATCTGGTCAGTCAGAGGTCACACTAGGTCCTGGTGTGGCAGAGCAGAGCGAGGGACAGCAGGTCGACAGCGCAAGGAGGACAGGATTGCAGGGGAAGACTGGACAGCGCAGGACAGGCACGTCAGGGGAGCGCGGACGTAGGGGGAAATGGAGTGCAGGGCGGAGACCACGGGGACGGTAGAGAAGGGCTGGGGGCACAGGACAGGGCAAGGCAAGATGTGGAGGGACAGTGAGGGACAGTACAGCCGGTCGCAAATGCCGGCGCACTCACCGGTACGATGTTGTGCAGCTCGCAGAGCAGCGCCTGGATCGGCACGTACTCCATGATGATGTTTTTGCGCAGCTCAGTCGGACTGACGCGGTCAGTGTTACCGTAGTCGACAAACTGTACCGTCACCTTCTCCTTGTGCACCTGGCGGTACAAAACGGTACACGGTGGTACATGATACAGGTACACGTACGGTACAAACTGCACCGTCACCTTCTCCTTGTGCACCTGGCGGGACACACGGTACAAGGTACAAGGTACAGACGGTACACGGTACAGGTACAGACGGTACACGGTACATTGTACAGACGGTACAGGTACGGTACAAACTGAACCGTCACCTTCTCCTTGTGCACCTGGCGGGACAGGCGGTACATTGTACAGATACAGGTACAAACTGCACCGTCACCTTCTCCTTGTGCACCTGGCAGTACGGGCGGTTCACGGTATAGGTACGGTACATGACGGTACAGGTAGACAGTTCAGGTTACAGGTACAATACAAAAGGTACACAGTACAGACCGTACAAGGTACAGACGCTACAAGGTACAGATAGTACAGACAGTTCACGGTACAGGTACGGTACAGACGACACACGGTGCTGTCCAGGCTGTACCTCAGCCAGTGTCCAGCCCTCGCCCAGGTGTTGTGCCCTTGCACTGCACCTCTGGGGCCGTACCTGCAGTACCCGGGCGCGGTACCAGCCCTCGTCCAGGTAGTATTTGGCGATGCACGGCTGCCCGTCAAACCAGTAGCTGTCGCAGGGCCTCGGCTGGGAGCCCTCGAACTGAGTCTTCAGCGCCTGCTTTATCACGTCCAACGTCTCCTTGCCTGAGGATACCCGGTGGCGGAGTGTAAGATAACACCACCCGGAGATAATTACACATTGGAAAACACAATCCCGACTATTCGATTATCACTTATTGACATTCTAACTTCAGCGACAACGCAACAGATCATCAGTCAAAATACGCCAAACGCCATCAGAATCGCTTAGCCCGCGTGTCCAAAAACTCAGCCCAGCCCACCTCCTACACCCACCGCGGGTGTAGGAGTGTACGGACGGCGCACAGTCACACCCACCGCGGGTGTAGGAGTGTAAGGACGGCGCACAGTCCACCACGCGGGTAAGTGTATACGGTGTAGAGCTACACCCACCTCGCTGGTACGTATGTACTGTGTGAAGTACAGTTCCACCCATCGCGCGGTAAGTGAGGAACTAGTCACACCCACCTCACGGGTATATTATATTGTGTGAAGTACAGTAATACACCCACCTCGCGGGTATGTGTGCAGGTAGATGGAGCCGGCCATGGTGACGTGTGTGGGGATGGCGCGCAGTCGCGTCTCGCTGGGCACCACGGCCGGCAGCCAGTCCTCCTCTGCCGAGCGCTGCTGCACCAGCTCGGCCGCCTCCTCGGCCGCCAGCATGCTCATCTCCAGTCGGCCCGGCTCGCCCGGCGGCGTCACGCACCCCTCGGCCGGCGCCGGGGCCGCCGACGCCTCCGCCGCCGCCACCGACGAGCCCGCCGCCGACGAGGCCGCAGCGGCGGCGGCGGCGGCCGCGGCGCGCAGCGTGGCCCAGTCGGCGCCCAGCGGAATCTCCTGTGGAGGCAGGGGACGGTGTCAGCCCAGCGGGATCTCCTGTGACACAAGGGACGATGTCAGTCCAGCGGCGACGACAGGGAGCGGTGTCAGCCCAGCGGCGACGACATGGGACGGTGCCAACCCAGCAGTCCCCTCCGTCCTCTTTGGTCCCCTGCCCTCCCCTCTTCCACCCATCCTGCACTCCGTCCCCTCTGATCCCCCATCCTCCTCTCCGGGCCGCCCGTCCTCTCTGGTCACCACCCTCCTCTCTCAGCCACTCCATCCTCACCTGGTCCTCCTCACAGGGCGTGGCCGGCTCCTCGGCTCCCAGCGTGCCGTCCGAGGCGCGCGAGCCGCCTCCCGTTCCCGCCGCCGCTCCGTCCAGGTCGTTGGACAGCTCGCCGTCGGCGCCGGAGCCGTCGGCGCCCGGCGGACGGGTGCCGCGCACGGCCGACTGCAGCGAGGCCGCCAGACCGCCGGCCTCCTCCTCCGCGGCGCCGAGCGTCTCGCACAGGTTGGCGGACCTGACCGGTGGGAGGGAGGGCACAGGACACGGCCCCATGTCAGAGATCACAGATCAGCGGACACAACTCAGAGAGGTTACAAGTCAGAGGTCACAGATCAAAGCAAACGGGCTGGTGTGTATAACTCGTATGGCACGCAGCCATAATCTTAGTGCCGCCCTGTAAGAGCGCCTAGATTCAGTTCGTTCACAGACCCCGACCGCGGCGTCCGTCCGACCGCGATTACCGTGCCCGTCCGTCGCCGAGCGCGGCGCGACACTCACCGGCTGTTGCTAAAGGCCTGCCTCCGACCCTGGGACGGTCCCTGGGTTAGTCCCTGGTCCCCAGCTGTTAGCGCCACCCACCGGCTGTCGCTAAAGGCCAGCCCCTGACCCCTGGGCCGGTCCCTGTGCACCACCCCAGTCCCTGACCGCGGCACTCACCGGCTGTTACTGAAGGCCAGCCCCTGCTCCACCAGCTTCCCGGCCAGGCTGGTGCGGATGCGGCGCGTCGGCTCCAGCGCGCTGACCGTCTTGTGCTCCTCCGCCTCCAGGTCACATGGCAGCGAGGAGAGCTGAGAGGGACGCTGTCCGCCGGCCGGCTGAGGGACGGAGGGTCAGGTCAGGTCAGGTCAGGTCAGGTCAGGTCAGGTCATGGGGCAGCGAGGAGAGCTGAGAGGGACGCTGTCCGCCGGCCGGCTGACGGCGGGAGGGTCAGGTCAGGTCAGATCACAGGTCAGGTCATAGGGGCAGCGAGGAGAGCTGAGAGGGACGCTGTCCGCCGGCAGGCTGAGGGAGGGGGGTCAGGTCAGGTCACAGGTCATGGGGCAGCGAGGAGAGCTGGGAGGGACGCTGTCCGCCGGCAGGCTGAGGGAGGGGGGTCAGGTCAGGTCACAGGTCATGGGGCAGCGAGGAGAGCTGAGAGGGACGCTGTCCGCCGGCCGGCTGAGGGACGGGGGTCAGGTCAGGTCAGGTCATAGGGCTGCGAGGGACGCTCCCGTCGGCCGGCTGACAGGCACCACCAGGTCAGGTCACAGAGCAGCCGTGATACTCGTCACAAGTTAAATACTAGGCAAAAGGGCTACGAATGGACTAAGATAAGACATCACGCGATTAATAAGTGACCAATAATGAATATTCAACTGAATAGTCCACGTTCCACTCACCAGTTTGGAGACTAGGAAGAGCTTCTTGGACTTGTCGATCATGTCTTTGAAGAACTCGCTGGCCACGCCGGTCCACACGCCGCGGTCTCCTGAGCAGGGGAACGGGGGAGTGGGGGGGGGGGGCGGTCAGGTGCGGCCGGTCCACACGCCGCGGTCGCCTGAGCAGGGGAACGGGGAAGGGTCGGTAAGGGCGGCCGGAGCACAGACCGACAGGCTGGCATCCCAATCCCAAAACAGAGCTATCACATGAACCATAGTAAGTGTAAATGTCTCCAGCGTAGGACAGCTGACCGGACCCAACCAGCGCGACCCCCGGCCATCGGGTCACCCGTGTGGGACTGTGGAACAGCCTGACACTGACACGGCCTTCGATACTGCGTCTGATGGTGCACCTGACACTGACACCGGTGACACCGCCTCTGACACTGCCTCCCCTGACACCGTGTCTGGCACTGACCGGCCGGCCGGATGCCGTGTAGGTGATACTGACACCCCTGACACTATGTCTGACACTGCGCCTGACACCGGTGACACTGCGTCTGACACCTGTGACACTGTGTCTGACACTGACCGGCCGGCCGTATGCCGTGCAGGTGACACTCGAGGGCGAAGGCGCGGTGCTCCTCGAACTGAGCCGCCATCACGGAGATATCGCTCTGCTGTACGGTGGCCGTCTGTCCATAGTCGATCAGTAGGACCTGCGGGGAGACGGACCAGCGCGGTCAGAGAGGGGACACACATCTGTACAGAGGCCGTCTGTCCATTGTCTATCAGTAAAACCTGGGGACGGACCAGAGCGCGGTCAGAGAGAGAGTACAAACCCCTGCACGGGGATAACGCGAGGCTCCAGTGCCTCAGCTGAGAGGAGCATACCGCTAATATAGAGACCGGGGACATGTACATAGTCTGTAGATAGGCATGTACATTTTCACTGCACCCCGCCGCCAGCACCCTGGGCGAGCACTGCCCGGTGCCGTGCGGTCCGGTGAGACTGGACCCGGCAGTGTGCTGCACTGCCGGGGGTCAGCGCCGCGCCGCGCCCACCTTGGCCTGGTCGGCAGCCTCCTCCGGCACGGAGAGTACCCGGACGCGGTAGAAGCGCTGGTCGATGCCGCGGCACCGCGCCACCGCCACGTCACCGGCGCGCCACGAGTAGCCGTGCCGGGAGGGCGCCCGCGGGCCGCCGTACAGCTCCTGCAGCTCGCGCATCATCCTACCGGCGGGAGGCGAGAGACGGGTTGGCGGGGAGACGGGGACGGCCATCGTAAGAGACCAGAGACGGGTTAACGGAGAGGTGGGGAGACAGCAGGGGCCAGGGACCCACATCGTCAGGCGGAGTGGCACGTCTTCCTCAGTAGCACAGCCCAAAACATATTTTCAGAGCCAATACAAATAATTTGTTGATTTCATGCGAAGAAGTGAGCCTGCAGATAGCCTAATTCGCATCAGAATACAATACCAAAATACCGGAAGCAAACATTTTATTTTTGAGAAATCAGTACCTCATTCCCGACATGCCCGGCACATCACAGCGCTCGCGCCCACATCTCACGGCAGTGAGCGCGGCCCCTGTCCCTTTGCCGCCTCCCCCGCCCCACCCACCCCTTCCCTCCGCCTCTGACCGACTCACCGCTCCAGGGTGGTGATCTCGCCGCGAATCTGGACGCTGAATTTGGCCGGCGACTCGCAGTGGCAGACGGCCACGTCCAGCGAGCCGGTGCTGGTAGCCACCGGCGCAGCCTCGCCGGCCGACGACTGCGGGACGGTCACAGGTCAGAGACAGAGGTTCGACCGCGCCAGGGCTCAGCGGCCGGGCAGAGGTCAGCCGGGCCCCAAATTTGGCGTATCTGGACGTGTATAGTCGACTACAGAATGATGTTCCACTTTTCACAGGCAATATTTGCCTGGAGTGGTAGGCTGTGCCGCATCACACGGGCTGAGTTCACAAATTATAGCTTTGTCCCAATGCTCACAATCGACACGCTTAAAGGGACCCTCCCACCTTAACATTAGATTTTAGTTGAGATAGCCAAAATGGGGTCCCTGGCTCACAATTACCGGTTTCGGCACTCACAACATCGAGAAATGCCTTAAATCGGAAATATTGAATTTCAAAATTGCATCATTTTGATTCAGAGGGGCTAATGCATAGGAATACCCCTCTGAATGTGTGACGTCAGCGCAGATAATATATCTAAGGATTTTTAAATGTTTGACTAAAGCGTTTTGTAGTACGCGGTGGTATATGCTGCTTTGCGCGCAACAAGTGCCGCACTTTCAGCTCCCAAACTATTGCTTCCAAATAAAGTCGCTAGGAACAGCGGAGATCCCAAAAAGTAAACAAAAGTAAAAGTCTAATATCTTGAAAACCGGTGAATATTTTTCGGTGAAATTTGGTAGATATTCGTTTTCGCTCTTTCTGAACCGGGCGACATCACTTTCATGCCAATTCATAAACTTTTTTGAAGGTGGGAGGGTCCCTTTAATTGCGCGATAAACGGCACAACTTAGCGTTCCGGTCAACTGATAGCTTCTGAGGAGTGGAACATCATTCTGTAGTCGACTATACATACCTGGGGCGCGGTACCAGTGCGTCTACTTTATACCTGTGACGAACGCAGTGCATACGTTCCGTGATGCGGGGCACCGGTGCGTGCAGTCCTGTCGTACCTGTGACGGACTCCATTCGTACTTGTTACTCAGTATATCACTGTGACGCGGTACCGGTGCGTTCGCCACTATGACGGACTCAGTTCATGTCTGGGACGCGGCGACGGTGTGTTTGTATGTACCTGTGACGGACGTAGCTCGCAACCATCTAGGACGCGGTACCCATAAGCGCACTTCGTACATGTGACCAAGCCCGTACCTGAGAGGCGGTGCATGTGACCCAGCCCGTACCGTACCTGTGGGGCGGTACCAGTACGCGCAATACGTACCTGTGAGGCGGTGCCGGTGACCCATTTCGTACCTGTGAGGCGGTAACAGTACGCGCAATACACGTACCTGTGAGGCGGTGCCTGTGGGCTGTGACCCGTACCGTACCTGTGAGGCGGTGCCTGTCCGCTCCGACGACTGGCGGGCGGCCGACGGCGGCCAGGAGGCCACCGACGAGCCGGACGCGGCCGGTACCTCGCGCGTCGGCTCCCAGCCCACTTTGGTGTACTCGACGGTACGCGTGCTGGCGGTACAAACAGAGGGGTACCGGTGTTAGAGGGTAACCGGTCCCGACTCCAACCGTACTCGACCGTACGGGTGCTGGCGGTACAAACAGAGGGGTACCGGTGTTAGAGGGTACCGGTCCCGACTCCAACCGTACTCGACCGTCCGGGTGCTGGCGGTACAAACAGAGCGGTACCGGTGTTAGAGGGTACCGGTGCCGACTCCAACCGTACTCGACCGTACGCGTGCTGGCGGTACAAACAGAGGGGTACCGGTGTTAGAGGGTACCGGTCCCGACTCCAACCGTACGGGTGCTGGCGGTACAAACAGAGGGGTACCGGTGTTAGAGGGTACCGGTGCCGACTCCAACCATACTCGACCGTACGCGTGCTGGTGGTACGGACAGAGGGGTACCGGTGTTAGAGGGTACCGGTCCCGACTCCAACCGTCCGGGTGCTGGCGGTACAAACAGAGCGGTACCGGTGTTAGAGGGTACCGGTCCCGACTCCACCCGTACTCGACCGTCCGCGTGCTGGCGGTACAAACAGAGGGGTACCGGTGTTAGGGGGTACCGGTCCCGACTCCAACCGTCCGGGTGCTGGCGGTACAAACAGAGGGGTACCGGTGTTAGAGGGTACCGGTCCCGACTCCACCCGTACTCGACCGTACGCGTGCTGGCGGTACAAACAGAGGGGTACCGGTGTTAGAGGGTACCGGTGTTAGAGGGTACCGGTGTTAGAGGGTACCGGTCCCGACTCCACCCGTACGGGCGCTGGCGGTACAAACAGAGGGGTACCGGTGTTAGAGGGTACCGGTCCCGACTCCAACCGTACCAGACCGTCCGGGTGCTGGCGGTACAAACAGAGGGGTACCGGTGTTAGAGTGTACCGGTCCCGACTCCTACCGTACTCGACCGTACGGGTGCTGGCGGTACAAACAGAGGGTACCGGTGTTAGAGGGTACCGGTCCCGACTCCAGCCGTACGGGTGCTGGCGGTACAAACAGAGGGGTACCGGTGTTAGAGGGTACCGGTCCCGACTCCAACCGTACGGGTGCTGGCGGTACAAACAGAGGGGTACCGGTGTTAGAGGGTACCGGTCCCGACTCCAACCGTACTCGACGGTACGGGTGCTGGCGGTACGGGCAGAGGGGTACCGGTGTTAGAGGGTACCGGTCCCGACTCCACCCGTACTCGACGGTACGGGTGCTGGCGGTACAAACAGAGGGGTACCGGTGTTAGAGGGTACCGGTCCCGACTCCAACCGTACTCGACCGTGCGGGCGCTGGCGGTACGGGTAGACGGGGAGGTCAGCAGGGGCGCCTCCCGACTCCACCCGTACTCGACCGTACGCGTGCTAGGGGTACGGACAGACGTGGAGAATACTGGTGTCAGGACATTCCTCCTTACAGGCGGCACAAGCTGAGCGACACCCAAAATATACAGAACAGCCATGCATCTCTCAGCAGCATATTCGTTACATTTAAATCAGTAACTGACGCCACATACTGGAAACTGCATGACTCGAGTGACCGGGCGGCCCGCACCTGGCATGAAAACAGTGTGAACAGGCGACAAATGTAGCCGCCTATCAGCTATTATAGCTGACCTCATGGCTGCCTGAACAGACTTGAGCTGCTTAACTGACCTTCAGGTTGAAATAAATGACCTGGGAGCGGGACCAATGTCTCGCGGGCGGTAAGGGACTGACATACAGGTGTGGTATTACTGACCTGGGGATGTTTCTGGCACGCAGCTCAGCTGTGGGCGATACAAACTGGCCTGTCTGGAGCTGTACCAACTGACCTGGGGCGGTGCCTCGCACGCAGCTCAGCTATTTGGGGAATCAATTGAACCCTGGGCCGGACTAGTACTGGCCTGGGCTCAGCTCAGCTGTGGTGGTGGTGGTGGGGTGCGGTACCAACTGACCTGGGGTGCCATATTAGTACTGACCTGGGCGCAGTCCGTCGCACGCAGCTCAGCTGAGGTCTGCGGGCGGTATTGAAACTATACCTGACCTGGGCGCGATGCCTCGCACGCAGCTCAGGTGTAGGGTTATTAGGTGACCCACAGGCTGGACTATAATTGACCTGGGCGCGGTGCCTCTCACGCAGCTCAGCTGTGGGCGGTATTAGTTGACCCACAGTACTGACCTGGGCGCGGTGCCTCTCACGGAGCTGAGCTGAAGTCTGTGAGCGGTACTGGTTGACCCACAGTACTGACCTGAGCGCGGTGCCTCTCACGCAGCTGAGCTGTGGGCGGTATTAGTTGACCCACAGGCTGGACTATAACTGACCTGGGCGCGGTGCCTCTCACGCAGCTAAGCTGTGAGGTTATTAGTTGACCCACAGCCTGGACTATAACTGACCTGGGCGCGGTGCCTCTCACGCAGCTGAGCTGTGGGGTATTAGGTGACCCACAGGCTGGAGTCCTGGACTATAACTGACCTGGGTGCGGTGCCTCTCACGCAGCTGAGCTGAGCCAGCAGGGCGTTGATGCAGATGTCGGCATCCGAACGGCACTTGTACAGAGTCACCACGTGAGAGATCGAGTCCACGCTGTCCACGTACATCTGACAAACAAACAAACAGGTCATATCCTGACAAACAGACAAGACACCTCACCACTTACATCTGACAAACAGACACCTCACCTGACTTACCTCTGACAGAAAGACACGTCACGATCTCACGTACATGGCTGGAGCAGCGAAACTCCATTCTTGCACGGGACTCCCCCCTCAACATCGCGAGGCCCTAACCCGGTCTGTACCCCCTCAATCACGTCCCTTCTCCCTCCACCCCCCCCCCAACTTGAGCACGCAGTTGTCAATGCCCCTCCCATACTTGAGCACGCAGTTGTCGCTGGACCCCACCTTGAGCACGCAGTTGTCAATGCCCCCCTCCCCTCCCCACCTTGAGCACGCAGCTGCAGCTGTCGGTGGACCCCCTCCCCTCCCAACCTTGAGCACGCAGTTGTCGGTGGCCTCGATGAGCTGTTGTCGCACCGCGTCCTCCCAGCCGGACTGGGGGTTCATCGGCTGGATGTCAGCCAGACGACACTTTAACGCCTGCAAGCAGCGGACCAGGCGTTAGCGGTACAGGGGTACACTGTCATACCACACCGGACCAGGTGTTAACGGTAACGGTACACGGTCATACCACACCGGACCAGGTGTTAACGGTAACGGTACACGGTCATACCGCACCGGACCAGGTGTTAACGGTAACGGTACACGGTCATACCGCACCGGACCAGGTGCTAACGGTAACGGTACACGGTCATACCACACCGGACAGGTGTGAGCAGTAACGGTACACGGTCATACCACACCAGACCAGGTGTTAACGGTAGCGGGAAACGGTCTTACCACACCGGACCAGGTGTTAACGCCACGGTAACGGTACACGGTCATACCACACCGGACAGGTGTGAGCAGTAACGGTACACGGTCATACCACACCGGACCAGGTGTTAATGGTAACGGTCATACCACACCGGACCAGGGTGTTAACGGTAACGGTAATGCCACACCGGACCAGATGTTAATGGTAACGGTACACGGTCATGCCACACCGGACCAGATGTTAATGGTAACGGTACACGGTCATACCACACCGGACCAGGTGTTAACGGTAACGGTACACGGTCATACCACACCGGACCAGGTGCTAATGGTAACGGTACATGGTCATACCACACCGGACCAGGTGTTAACGGTAACGGTCATTCCACACCTGCGCGGACCAGCTGTCAACGTATTCTACACAATGCACAGCCCAGTGTTCCAGTAAGCAATTGAAATTAAGTCAAGAGCACGGTCATGAGGAGTTACAGGGAGGGTCGCCGACCCTCACCAGTCACTATCATGTCCCTCTATTTGTTTCAGAGCTGCAGTACCCGACTGGGCACAACGACGACCATCCTAGCCTCCCCTGACTGACCGGACCCGCTCAGAGTTTTGGGCTGCGACCCACCTGTTTGGGGATGACCATGAACTTGTCCTCGATTTTGCGCACCGCCTGCAGTGAGATACGCTCGCGGTTGCCGTAGTCGACGTAGTAGACGTCCACCATGCCGTGAGAGAGCAGGATCTCGATCTCGGCTCGGTAGAACTTGCCGTCGACCGAGAACTGGGCCACGCACACCTGGCCTGCTCCACAGAGGAAACACACAGGACGACGAGCGGTCAGCACACACGACAACAGCGCGACTGGCTGGGCGGAGGGAGGCATAATTGGACAAACGACACATTCAAAATGGACTGGGATGTTGTCCCAAATTACAGGCGAACCCGCTGATTGGGACAACGGTGTCCACTTGGCTGGCTGGCCATACCTTTCTGCGGGTTGAGCAGCGCGTGTTTGGAGCTCTTGGCGTACACTCGCTGGATCTCGTCCATCATATTGGAGAGGTACTGCCAACACAACGAACGACTCGGTTAGACGGGGAAGGGACGGGAAAACTGCCCGTCAGAGCAGGCAGCACACAGTCGACAGTTAGCAGCACCGTTCGACAGGAGCGGTTCCCTGTACCGTGCCAAAGCTTAACATCCCCCCGCGCCATCCCACACCACTGAGCGGCCCCCACCTCGATGTGCCCCACTACTGAAGTCTGAGCGGCCCCCACCTCGGCATGGACGCCCAGCTGCTGGATGTAGAACGTCTCCGGCGAGTCCACGTGGCTGACGAGTACGTCCGTCTGAGACCCGCGCGCCAGGTGCTCGGGCGCGTAGAACTGGCGTCGGTCGGCGGTGGCGCTCTCCATCCGCGCTACGGTGACGGCCGGGGTGGCGGGCGGCGGCCGGCGGCCGGCGCTGGCGGCCACTCCCGAGCCGGGCGCCGCCCGAGACCTAGCGCACATGGAGGGCCCGTCAGCGACCTGTCAGACACGGGCACGGGCCAGAGATGGAGGTAACACCTGCCGCCAAGTGCACACGAGGCATGAGGATCAGGGGTGGCGTCTTTATCGATGACGAGAAATCCTTACAGCCAGTAAGTCATTGTGGATAGCTTTGATAGCGCATATGGTCATGTCGACTTTGTTCATGAGCAATCTCCTTCGCCCCCTCCCCTGACCTCCCCGCACCTTTTGGTGGTAAGTCAAGGGTATATGGTCACCCCTCCTTCCCGTTCTATTTGGACCCCCTCCCCATCCCTGGGTCACACACCCATCCCATTGTGTCGTTGGGAACGCGTCCAGTGCCGTTTGGACACCCCGTCCCTGGCTGTTACCGTCTGGCGGTGGCGCCACCCTGTACCCCGCCTCTCTGGAACTGTTTGGGCCCCTCCCTCAGTCCCAGGTGTACCGTTTGCCGGTAGGGCCTCCCGTCCCCGTCCCCCGTCCCTCTGGAACCGTTTGGGCCGCTCCCGTCCCTCAGTCCCTGGCTGTTACCGTTTGCCTCCGTCTCCCGTCCCTCTGGAACCGTTTGGGCCGCTCCCTCAGTCCCTGGCTGTTACCGTTTACCAGCAGGGCCTCCCGTCCCCGTCCCCATCCCTCCGGAACCGTTTGGGCCACTCCCTCAGTCCCAGGTGTACCGTTTGCCGGTAGGGTCTCCCGTCCCCGTCCCTGGCCGTTACCGTTTTGCGGCGGCGCCTCCCACGTAGCTGGCCACGCCGAGGAACACCAGGTGGTCGCGCACCGACTGCGGCGAGTCGGCCTCGATGTTCCGGTTGGGCATCTTGAGCATCTCGACCTCGCGCGGCCGGCCCGGCTTCGCGCTGATGGTGGTCATCGCCACTGACTCGCTGTGGAACGGCAGAGCGGGGGGGGGGGGGTCAGAAATGGGAGGCGGGGAGGGGCAGGGAGTGGGGCGGGGAGCGGGGCAGTCAGGGGAAGGGCCGCGAATAAGGCGGACAATGGGCAGATCGGGGTAGGGCGGACACTGGAGTGGAGATGAGGACGAGAGAGTTAGAGCTAGCTAGAGGAAGGTAAGGAGCAGAAGGTTGCACCACATGCGGCAAGGCTAGCGGAAACATGAAAGCCAGATGCAGCATCGTTTTAGGTACAGAAATCAGTAGCTGCCATGCCGACTAGAATATCACGCCACTTCACAGCCGCGGTCTACGCCACCTTCGAATGCCCGACTTCAGAGCTCACGAGGGACTCACTCTACCCAAATCACCCTCCCCCTGTCCTGCGCCCCCGCCTCACCCTCGGACCAGCTCGGCGAAGGCGTGTGTGGCGCGCGGACTCCAGGCGGCCGCGCCGCCGGCCGGCACCAGGTCCCAGAGGGTGCAGAGCAGAGCCATGTCGTGGTCGCGGGCCAGCGGGCCGGACATGGGCAGCAGGCGGGACTCCAGCACACGCTCCTGGTTACCTGTGTAGGGGAGGGGGCGTCAGTGACACGGGCTGGAAGACTGGGCCGGGAGGGGGCCTGGCTACCTTGTGAAGAGGAGGGGAAGGCTCGACAGCACCGGCCGGTACGGAGGTGGAAGGCCAGGGGAAGCTACGGCAGCTGCATAAAATGGCACGGTCACAGTAGAAAATCAAATGTGAAAAAAAAAACATGTGCTAAAAAACAAATCCAGCTTGTCCGGCCAGCTCGGCCTCTAATACGTACCGTAGTCGATATAGAACACCTCGTACTCGAAGGGCGCTCCCTCCTCGCCCGGCGGGTACACGTCGATGATGCGGGCGCGGTACCAGCGGCCATCGCTGCGGTACTGCGACAGACACAGCTCGTCTGTGAGAGAGAAACCCCGTCAGATAACTGCCGTACTGCGACAGACACATATGCGGTACTGGAACATACACGCTCGTCTGCAAGAGAGAAACCCCGTCAGATAACTGCCGTACTGCGACAGACACAGCCGCGGTACTGGAACATACACAGCTCGTCTGCAAGAGAGAAACCCCGTCAGATAACTGCCGTACTGCGATAGACACAGCCGCGGTACTGGAACATACACAGCTCGTATGTCGGACACAGAGAAACATGGTCAGATAACTGCCGTACTGCGACAGACACAGCCGCGGTACTGGAACATACACAGCTCGTATGTCGGACACAGAGAAACCCCGTCAGATAACTACCGTACTGCGACATACACAGCCGCGGTACTGGAACATACACAGCTCGTATGTCGGACACAGAGAAACATGGTGAGATAACTGACAGACACAGCCGCGGTACTGTAACATACACAGCTCGTCTGAAGGACAGAGAGAAACATGGTCAGATAACTGCCGTACTGCGACAGACACAGCCGCGGTACTGCGACAGACACAGCTCGTCTGAAGGACACAGAGAAGAGTCACACACAGCCGCGGTACTGCGACAGGCATGACTGAGTCACACACAGCCGCGGTACTGCGACAGACAGAACTGGGTCACACACAGCCGCGGTACTGCGACAGACAGAACTGGGTCACACACAGCCGCGGTACTGCGACACGCAGAACTGGGTCACACACAGCCGCGGTACTGCGCAGACAGAGCTCGTCTGCAGGAGAGAGACAGAGTCAGACAGCGCACCGTCGAGTGAAAACTATACAGGAAACGTCAGTTATATCTGCACACTGTGCAGGGGCAGCGGGAGACTATACTCTCAAAGCAACTATTCAATCATGGCCGGATGTGGGAAACAAGAAGCACATTCACGACTCTCCTAGTCATTCGTGCTAGAGAGTGCTGCAAATCTACGTAATCAAAATCGCATTCCGTACATTTCAAACAATCAAAAATAGCACGTGAAATATAGGTACACAAATCACTAACTGAATGCCCGTAGAGTCTGGACGACGCACACAGTGCGCACCGGTCTACCACTGAACACAGTGCGCGCCCAATGCCGCCGGCCGGGCCACTCACTTTTGGCCAGTGTGAGCAGGTGTTTGTTGCGCTTGCTGTCGGGGTTGCGGCTCCACTGCGCCACGCGCCGCATCAGCTCCTGCAGCTGACGGTTCTGGCAGCAGCGCTGCACGTAAAACTGAGACGGACTGTTGATGTGGGTCACCAGCACCCGCTCCTGGCCGACTGCCGGCAGACGGAGGGGGGGGGGGGGAGAGTCAGTATTTGATCAGTTGGAGGCCAAGGGTGGGACAATCAGCGCTCCCTCAACGCGAGGACAGGGGCGGGACAGTCCTCCCCCTCAGTTCGGGGACAGGGGCGGGACAGTCCTCCTCCTCAGTTCGGGGACAGGGGCGGTACAGTCCCCCTCAGTTCGGGGACAGGGGCGGGACAGTCAGCTCTGCCTTAGTCAGATGCAGCCGCCATCACGAGGGCATTTCAGCAACACACATCAATATCATGAATCTATGCGTGTAAGCATCATTGACAATGGGGAAACTCTTCTGGTAGCCAAGCAAGCTATGCACCTGCTTCCAAAGGCAGGCATGTTTTGGTAAATAAATAAAACGAAGAAAAACGATCGTTGTCAAAACTAAAAGTGTAGTACAAGCGGCGGTGTCAGCTGCTGCGGCGGCGAGCCGGCGCGGCGGGGAGGGGCGGCTCGGGTCAGGTCAGGTGGAGGGCGGCAGGACACGGCGCCGCCCGTCCGTACCGGTGAAACTCAGAGGCCGGACGGCGACGGCGGCGGCCCTGGCTTGCTGCCGGCGCCGCTGCTCGCGTCGCCGCCGCGACCGCTGCAGTCGCGACGCGTATACCCTCCGCGCGGGCGCGCCGGCTGGCAGAGGAGGCGGTCAGCTGGGCGCGGGACATCGTCACCAGAGGGGCAGCCTCAGCCGGCCCTGCTAGCAGCCGCAGCCCATCACCCAGCCCAGCAGCCGCAGCCCAGCACACAGCTGAACAACCGCAGTCTAACCCAGCACAGCAGCCGCAGCCCAGCACCCAGCCCGACAGCCGCAGTCTAACCCAGCACAGCAAGAGCAGTCCATCAACCAGCTAAGTTAAAAAACATAAAAGATGAATGAGAAAAAAGAGCCCATTCCAAAAGAAAATAAATACGACAGCATGCATGGCAAGACACATCGCAAGTGAAAACCGCAAATTAGAGGTGAAGCAGTGGCCTGCACGGCGGCCGGTGCGGAGCAGTCGGCCCAGCGCCCCCAGAGGCCGACAGTGGGCTGTACTCACAGGGCGCCAGGGAGCCGTCCGCGGCCTCCGTGCGTCCGCTGTCCCTGGCGGCGGGGGCGGCAGCCGGGACCGGGGCCGGGGCCGGGGCCGGGAACACCGCCGCCAGTCGGCGGTCGGACGGGGGGCGCGGCGAGCTGCCGGGGCGCGCCGGCGTCGGCGGCAGCGGCCGGGACGCTGTGACCGCCAGCAGCTCCACAGTGCCGGCCGCCGCCGCCGGAGGGATGGCCGGCTCGGAGCACACGGCCGGCGTGGTGTCACGCACCGGCTCCTCCTCTGCGGAGGGGAGGGGAGAGCATGGTCAGAGGGCGCCCGCCAGCGCCGACAGAGCAGCGGGAAACACAGAGCGTCAGAGGAGCACACGCGCAGCGAACCCAAGTGTACGGGGGGGGGGGGAGGGGGCAGTCTGAGAGCAGCTCTGGGCGTAGGGAAAGTCTGAGCACAGGACCACAGACCAAGGGCGGATTCGCGTAGACATGAACCGTCATTTTACCGCGGAATACAAACATGTTGGAAATATCAATTGGTCCATTGACGGGACCACAGTAAACAAAACAACGTGTAAACACAAAATATGCCCTTTTAGAGAATGAACGAATGTCAACCTAGGAACGATCTTATCGATCTGCCCTTTTTGGTAACAGCCTGGTTAGAAATTTCTCAGATAAACACAGTGCAGCCCGGTCGGTCGGTCTGACCTTCAGCGAGCATATCGGGCGTGATCTCGGTGACGACATGGTCTGCAGGGAGCTCAGCGTCCGACAGCAGACGCACTGGTGGCGCAATGTCCACCTCCAGCTTCCCGTGGTCGCCGATAGAGGTCAGCAGCGTCTTGTCGGCCAGGAAGCTGGCGACCACAGCGGGCAAAGCGGAGTTTACAAGGCAGCGGGTCCAGACAAACAGCCATCAGACAGCCAGACAATCAACAAAACAGCTTGTTGAACATTATTGAATTTGATAGTCCGACCAACTACTAAGAGCGGGTGCTAAGTTGAGCATGGTTGAGCGAATCGTTCACGCTATTCAACTACTCGACCAAAACCTAACTAGCCACCACTGAAAAGGTCATAGAACCAGAACACAAGTCTGATATGCACACATTTTCTAGTCAGTTTGAAGGCCTATCCAGTTTCTAAATTAAAAACCAACCGAAACTGCCAAATGGCCCCTCATTTTTTCGAGGGGGGGGGGGGGAAGTTATTCATTCCAATATTCAATTTACATACGCCAATGTATTACTACGATACTGACGAACAGGATGTCACTGAGCTAAGCAGTCATCCACAAGTCATGGACAAATATCGTAATGCATTTATCATATTGCCAACATTTTATTGACAGTGTAAAAAGAAAAAGAAAAACAGGACAGTGCAACACTCACGTTGATCATAAAAAAGAACAATAGGACATGGCACATGAGATGAGATGATATCGTCAGTATGGGCCGGTATCTCCACTGTGTGACTCTCCACTGATAGCTCCACTGACGGGCGTTTGAAAAACTGGCCCCCGGAAGCGGCACATGTCTCGGAGCCGCGTCCCCAGCCGGACCGTCACTCACAGCCCGCGGCTCCCCGGGACCGGTGGATGTGACGGCACCGGAACCCGCTACCGTCACGGGAGATCCTCGGCACGGGGGGTCAGCCCGGTGGGAGAGGACACCACACAGGACTGGTGGTGACACCATGGTGGCGGTGGTAGACGTCTATATAAATGAACAAGTAGTAGTCTTGTGAGCATCCTACCTGACGCGGCCGCTGTCTGCGTCGCCGTCGGCCCAGAGCAGGTGGCAGGGCCGACTGAGTCTGTCTGTTTATCCCACCTGACCCGGCCGCTGTCTATGGGGGCTGTTACCTGACCCGGCCGCTGTCTATGGGGAGCTGTTACCTGACCCGACCGCTGTCTGTCTATGGGGAGCTGCTACCTGACCCGGCCGCTGTCTATGGGGGCTGTTACCTGACGCGGCCGCTGTCTGTCAATGGGGAGCTGTTACCTGACCCGGCCGCTGTCTGTGGGGGGCTGTTACCTGACCCGGCCGCTCTCTGTCTATGGGGAGCTGTTACCTGACCCGGCCACTGTCTATGGGGAAAGCTGTTACCTGACGCGGCCGCTGTCTATGGGGGCTGTTACCTGACCCGACCGCTGTCTATGGGGAAAGCTGTTACCTGACCCGGCCGCTGTCTATGGGGAGCTGTTACCTGACCCGGCCACTGTCTATGGGGAAAGCTGTTACCTGACCCGGCCGCTGTCTATGGGGAGCTGTTACCTGACCCGACCGCTGTCTGTCTATGGGGAGCTGTTACCTGACCCGGCCACTGTCTATGGGGAAAGCTGTTACCTGACGCGGCCGCTGTCTATGGGGGCTGTTACCTGACCCGGCCGCTGTCTATGGGGAGCTGTTACCTGACCCGACCGCTGTCTGTCTATGGGGGGCTGTTACCTGACCCGGCCGCTGTCTATGGGGAGCTGTTACCTGACGCGGCCGCTGTCTATAGGGAGCTGTTACCTGACGCGGCCGCTGTCTATGGGGGCTGTTACCTGACCCGGCCACTGTCTATGGGGGCTGTTACCTGACCCGGCCGCTGTCTATGGGGAGCTGTTACCTGACCCGACCGCTGTCTGTCTATGGGGGCTGCTACCTGACCCGGCCGCTGTCTATGGGGGCTGTTACCTGACGCGGCCGCTGTCTGTCAATGGGGAGCTGTTACCTGACCCGGCCGCTGTCTGTGGGGGGCTGTTACCTGACCCGGCCGCTGTCTGTCTATGGGGGGCTGTTACCTGACCCGGCCGCTGTCTATGGGGAGCTGTTACCTGACCCGACCGCTGTCTGTCTATGGGGAGCTGTTACCTGACCCGGCCGCTGTCTGTCTATGGGGAGCTGTTACCTGACCCGGCCGCTGTCTGTCTATGGGGAGCTGTTACCTGACCCGGCCGCTGTCTATGGGAGCTGTTACCTGACGCGGCCGCCGTCTGCGTCGCCGTCGGCCCAGAGCAGGTGGCAGGGCCGGTCGGAGGCGGCCGACAGCTGCTGCAGCAGCGGCTCCAGGTCGGCGGTGACGGCCACACCATCGGCGCCGGCCAGCACCGGCTCCGCCTGCGAGAGCAGCTGCTGGAGCCGCGTGACACCCTCCTCGGCCGCCGCCTCCTGAACGGACAGAGACAGACATCATCAGACAGAGACAATACACAGACCAGAGAGCAGCTGCTGGAGCCGCGTGACGCCCTCCTCGGCAGCCGCCTCCTGAACGGACAGATAGGGGCATCATCAGACAGAGACACGGAGACAGACACATAGAGTAGCTGCTGCAGCCGCGTGACGCCCTCCTCGGCCGCCGCCTCCTGAACGGACAGAGAGAGACATCAGACAGAGACAATACACAGACCAGAGAGCAGCTGCTGGAGCCGCGTGACGCCCTCCTCGGCCGCAGCCTCCTGAACGGACAAATAGGGACATCATCAGACAGAGACAATACACAGACACATAGAGCAGCTGCTGGAGCCGCGTGACGCCCTCCTCGGCCGCCGCCTCCTGAACGGACAGAGAGGGACATCATCAGACAGAGACAATACACCGACACAGAGAGCAGCTGCTGGAGCCGCGTGACGCCCTCCTCGGCCGCCGCCTCCTGAACGGACAGAGAGGGACATCATCAGACAGAGACAATACACCGACACAGAGAGCAGCTGCTGGAGCCGCGTGACGCCCTCCTCGGCCGCCGCCTCCTGAACGGACAGAGAGACATCAGACAGAGACAATACACAGACACATAGAGCAGCTGCTGGAGCCGCGTGACGCCCTCCTCCGCCGCAGCCTCCTGAGGGGACAGTGAGACAAACATCAGACAGAGACAATACACAGACACAGAGAGCAGCTGCTGGAGCCGCGTGACGCCCTCCTCGACCGCCTCCTCCTGAACGGACAAATAGGGGCATCATCAGACAGAGACAATACACAGACACATAGAGCAGCTGCTGGAGCCGCGTGACGCCCTCCTCGGCCGCCGCCTCCTGAACGGACAGATAGAGCGAGAGAGACATCATCAGACAGAGACAATACACAGACACAGAGAGCAGCTGCTGGAGCCGCGTGACACCCTCCTCGGCAGCAGCCTCCTGGGTGGACAGAGAGGGGCATCATCAGACAGAGACACGGAGACAGAGACAGAGCGAGAGAGACAATCAGATAGACACAAGGAGGCACAGAGACAGTCCCAAAGAGTTGAGACACTCACTCAAACCTGCCTCCCCCTCCCCCTGAGTGGACAGAGAGACAAACATCAGACAGAGACCAAGACACAACAGACACGCTCCATTCAACTATAACACAACTATACTATACAGATAAAAACATACAGACAACAGACATACATTCAATTCTACCGCCGCCTTCTGCGCGGAGAGACCGACATCACCAGACATAGACACAAAGACAGACGTAAGCAGTGACGAACACAGCACACAGAAATACTCAAATCACCGCCGCCCCGGGTATCTCTGGAATATTTCCTTTTCGTGTCAACTTATCCCCGGCACATCTAGCCGCGGTCTCCGCTGAGTATGGGCAGCGCTGAGGCGAGCCACTTCCCATTCTGCACGGCACCAGAGGCCGCGCGACTCATACCATAATCCTCAGCTCTGCGCCGGCCGAGTGTTTCAATGGGTCCGATGGAGGACTGGACGGGGACCGGCTTGGACACTGGATTGGCAGGGGATGGGACTGTGATGACGCCAGTTTTCCGGGGAGTAAGTAGTGGGGAGTGGGCGGTCGCCCTCGCGTGATCCGCTGAGCCCGTTACGTAACAGCGACTGAGCCCTAATGTTTGCGCATATCTGATGAATCAAATCGGCATTACGAATTACCGTGAACGAATATGATGGATGTTTTAACAACGAAATGTGATCCATGGATAAATGATGGATCGTTATACAGAGTGACTTGCGTAATGCGTATCGCGAAAGGATTGTCAATTCACCGGAACGTCACTCATCATTGAATATACCTATGCGGGCAGAAAAGAAACGCCATGCGAATGTCGAGTTCGCGGCGGCTACAAACACAGTAACCGTCCGGGTAGACTCTAAAGACCGACTCACTAACAGGATATACCATTTGGCACGTCTTCCTGGTCAAAACTGGCGCCGCGTGTTAGCTCGACCGCAGCTCGCCGCCGGTTAACAGCACCGTCACGCCACAAATATTTCAGAGCTCCTTCCGAAACAAACTCCCACGGCTCAGCCTCAGACGCAGAAACTCGGATAGAAACAAACTCCCATCAGTCCGAAGGTAGATGCTCGGATACAATCCCACTAAATGTTAGCTGCAGTTTAAAAACGCCAGCCAGCGGGCCGCCAGGAAGGCGGTTGTGGCATCAGGCGCCGGTCCGCGCCTCTGGGAAATATGGCTGCGGTTAGCCGCCGATCTGATAGCGGTGTGAACACGGCGCTTGCCGACACTCTGGGAACCGCGTTCAGGACCTGTCCCTGCCCTCCCTCGGCTCAGAGGGACCGGACGGACCGACACTCCGGGCCGGCGCTCGGACCTGCGCACGGCGTCGTCTCCCCTCGGCCGGCTCTGCGCGGAGCGCACCTACCGCACAGGGTGGGAGGGGTGACACGGTGCGCGCCAAGCACACCGTCTCGGCTCCATCGCTTAAATCTGAGGTTACAGTTGCGGTCTGGCGGGTTCCGAGCTAGGTGCGGCCTCAGAGGAGCATTTAGCCCCGGTCAGGTGACTGGTTTGAAAGGTGAGACCACAATGACGTCACTCGTCACCTCCTGACGTCACTGCCACCCTGTCGTCAGTCGCGGCGGGCCGTGGGCGGTGCTGTTAGCAGCTCTGCCGTGAACCCGCTGCCGGGGGACGGCGGGCCCACATCCTGTTCCCAGACCGCCCCGGACTCCGGCGCCCCTCTCACGGCCACGGTGTGACGGTACGCTCCGTGTCCGTGATGTGGCCCACCCCCTGCCCAGGGCGAGAGATGGGCACCCGGGCGACCTCCATCGACTAATTCATGGGCCGGTCGACTGCGAGGTGAAGAGAGAAAAGGAGAGAAGAGATAGATAGAGACAGAGAGAGGGGAAAGAGAGAAGAGAGAGAGAGAGAGAGAGAGAGAGAGAGAGAGAGAGAGAGAGAGAGAGAGAGAGAGAGAGAGAGAGAGAGAGAGAGAGAGAGAGAGAGAGAGAGAGAGAGAGAGAGAGAGAGAGAGAGAGAGAGAGAGAGAACAAATGTTAAGAATGTTAAGCACCACAGGCCCGAGACCCACGTCTAAGTGCCGGGGTGCCAGCTCGCGGCACAGTGCACACCATGGGGACTAAGCACCGAGGGTGTCAGCTCGCGGCACACCAGGGGGCCGCGGCTTGCTGTCGCTCGAGCTGCGCCGACAGCGGAGCACGCTCCGCCCAGGCGTCATAATTCAGCTGAGCTGTTGCTGTGGCCGGCCCTCGTGTCGCTGATGCCTTTCTAAGTCGTCTCATGGACACGGGAGGCGGCAGCGGCCCGGATGAACTGCTCTCACGGACACCCGTCCGGCTCTCGGGCTCCCCCGGATGTATGCCCCTCAGGGCCGGGGGAGGGGACATCTCCCGAGCTCCCCACGGTCAGGCAGGAAGGCAGAGAGGCGGCGAAACACGGATGGATCAGAGAACAGCCACCTCAGCTCAGCACAGCTCGGCACCCCGACAGACGCGGACGGCCGACACCTAATGTCCCTCTCCCCTCGCCCAGTGACGGCGACCCGCCACCTGCGGCTGACCCTGACCTCCAATGCCAGACACGCCGACCACACGTGGACATTGGACGGCCACACCTTAGATGGCGACGTTATCTAGACAAAAGTGAAAATATCAGCTCATTTCGGCAAGCAGGGGCTCAAAGCTTCCGCTACAGCAGCATTTTCGTCATGGCTGGATCATAAGATCATCCTCTTACTGTGTTTTTGGGACCCTGAATCGTGTCCCGGCCAAAACTAATCTTAACGCGGAAAGAGACGCTACATGACACTGTCAGCCAACCGAGAGAAGCATGTATGCTACAAGGTCCTACCATGCGCACCAGGCGTACTAAGCCGATCAGGCACTTGACATTCAAACAAACAGCTCCTAGCAACTGCGAGCTCTTCATTGAATTGCAGATGCAGTCATTCACGAGCTCACGTCATCGGTCCCGCAAATATTAATGGTGGAGCGCATTGGAAATACGAGTAGGGGGTTGAGCCAGCATTACAGGACCATGCGTGAAACCTCTACTCTCGTGACCTAGTGGAGCATAGATATCGACAGATCACTGGCACATTATCGTCGTTGATGGTCACAAATCGACCGTGCCGCTACAAGCAGAAGGGGAACAGATGGGTACCCGTCAGCCGCACCTCCACGAGTATCTGCTGCCACCGTCATCTCATCTCAGCGCACCCTGACTGCGACAGGAGGTGACTGATCCGTCCAGTCAGGGCAGTGCTCACTGCACAGCTTCCCTCCCATTTCAGCCGCGGCTCTCAGAAGGATCCCATAGTTCAGCGGACAGGTCTGGTGAAATGATGGATGCGCTCGTATCCAGCTCGAGGTCGGCTCACACGCCCGGTAACCGCCACCGGTCCCCGGCACTTTACACGCGCGCACCTGACACCGCACGGCTGCCAGAGGCGGCGGCAGAGGTCAGCCGAGGCGCGGCGGGCGCGGCTGTAAGCGGTTCCGTACGGTCGGAGCCGGAGAGCCTGACCGGCCCCTGTGGTGGTCAGTGGTCACCCCCTCCGGGGAGCCTCCCCGGCGGCGGCATGTAGGTGCTCGCTTCAGATCACCCCCTCCAGGGAGCCTCCCCGGCGGTATGTAGTTACTCGCGTCTGGCCCACCCCCGGCACGTGACCCAGTAAGCGGCACGAGGCTGTCCGGATGGCACACTCCTCCACGTTACGGAGGAATGCGAGACCCAGCGAGGGACAATCAGCCGAATGGTGCGGCTGGACATGAGGTCTGGACGCGGTACATTCCAGAGCAGTCATAGAATCTCAAATAAGACGCGCGATGAAGTAAACGTGGCGCTACGGCTTCCAGCGTCAGAACGAACGTGAATGACCTGATTAGAAGGGAGCCTGAGGACTCGAGCCGTCCGTCACAGAATTTCAATAGCTGTGGTCAATTGTTTCGATT